CACAAAAGAATTCATATTATATAATTCCATTTATATGAAATCAAGAACAAACAAAACTAATTTATGATGATAGAAGTCAGGATAGTAGTTACCTTTCTGGGCATGGGTATTGACTTGGAAGGGGCATAAGGAAGCCTTATAAAATGATGGGAATGTTCCATATCTTGATCTGGGTGGATAGGAGTGTATACGTATGAGAAAGCTCATCAAGTCAAACATTTTAATTTTGTGAACTTTACTGTGCATATGCTATACCCCAATTTTTAAAAATTAAAAATTAGGAAAAAAACTCAGGAAACCTAATTTTGAAGTACTCGAAGTCTTGCATCTCAAATGTTTGGTTAAATACAGGGTCAGCTACTTAGTATGGTCTCAATAAATATAAACAACTCTGATGCATTGTTTAGTGAAAATAAATTTTCGATTTGGAGTCAGACCTAGTTTTGAACCACAGCGTCATTATTAGCTATATGATATTGAGCAAGTTACTCATATCAGGACTTTTTGTGACTATGGAAGAACAGAATAGCAGTGAGTTGAGAGAAGTACTGAAAAATCCTTTTCTTTTTTTTGGAGGGGGGATTTTGGTTTTGATTTGTGATCCCTCACCACTGAGAAATATCCACAGACATTTAGGGGTGGGCTCAGCAGGTGTATAAGTGTTAGGTGACTTAACGCCTCTGGCTTTAGCAAGGATGAAAACCTGAACCCTATCTGGACCAATCAGATTGTCCTGAGAATTTAAACTTGATTGAGAAAGTTTATCAGATAGCTGATCTGTTCTAAGAACCTATAAATTTAGGCTAGGGCTGCCTTGTTTGGTAGCAGCATGTGGAGATTTAGAGGTGTGTTGTAGAACAAGAATACTCTCAGATCACTTACCACGTCACTCCGTGTTCTGAGTGTTGTAACTCTGTAAGGTTGGTACTGTTATCCCTACTTTATATTAAGGAAACTGAGAAGCTTGACTAAATTAAGTAAGGGCTAAAGCTAAAATAAAACTCTGGCAGTGTGACTCCAGAGTCTGTGCTTTCATGGAGCAGTGCTGACATATCAGACACAGATCTAATAGCTGCCTTCGTTCCTGATAGTTTTACCGTTCCTGATCTCAGTCCTTTGAGAAGGTCGAGTCTGCTCCCTATCTTTGAATTATTTATCATAATTTATCCTTATAATACAATGTCATGTCTTTGCTTAAACTGGTTTAAGTGAATTTCAGCCAATTACAACTGGAAGAGTCCTGCTCCAGTTTGACTGTGAATGGGGTTGGAAATAACAAACCTCAGAGAAAGTGAAACTGGCTGAATCAAGGTGGGGTAGCAGGCAATAAAGACTTTCCTGCCCTAAAATGGGAACTTGTTTGTGTGTGTGTTATGCAATAGTAAATCATTTACACAGGCTTTCTCCAATAGTGTCTTAGAACTCCAACTATATGGTCACTGAGGTAGGGCTTTAGAGAACTTGGTAGCCAAATATAAAAAATGTCAAGTGTGGCAGTTACTGTACATGGAGTTTTGGAAAGTACATTAGAAAAGAGGAATTCTAAACAAAGTTCTCAGATGAAAGTAGATTGGAGCAAATTTGACAATTATTGGAAGCCAATTTGCCTTTGGTCTGAGAATATATACCCAGATCAGGAAGTTACTGAGGAAGCCCATTGCATTGCAACATAATTTTTTTTTGCCACCTTGTTTCTAACACCAGAGTTTTTACATTGAATGCCAGAAAGTGAAATTTTAGTAATAAGAATGGGACTCACAAGGAGGAGCAAATGATATTAAGGAACTCTAATTTCTCAGCTCCCTCCAAAAATTTTCCACTGCCCATCCCCTTCCATGCCTCACAAAAGTGTGATGATCCTTCACATTGTCTGTCAATATCCACTAGGATTGGAATGCACTATGTGTCTGGGAATATTACTAAATGGCAAACTGCAGGCTGCCATGCCCACTTTTTCTCTTGTTTGCTTTGAGGCTAAAGCAGAGAACAATGAGGATGGAGAGAGTCCCAGCTGTTGCTAAGAAACAGAAGTCCAGAAGAATTGACAACTTAAGAAGAAACCTGACCCACTAAGGTCTTCAGCATTAGCTAAATACAAAAGGAATCTCCCTAAAAGAAAATTGGCAGGCAATCCTCCACAGTGGAGCAGTTGCATGCCATAAAACCCTAAAGTCTGCAGTAGACTCAGACCTCAGACTATCTCAATTCCTTGAGCACCTCCTGTTCTCCAGTCCAGAAGAATCTGAACCAGCCAGAAAGGGATACCCTTGCCCCAAATGAAGAACCTTAGTATCCCTTGTCAAGAGTGGCCCTGGAGGTCTCTAAAAATGAATCCAAATTGGGTGCAGCCAAGTTTTCTAGTGACTTACTGGGAAGCGGGTCAGTTAACTCATGCCTTATAAGATTTCAAGAGCCTATTATTTACTATCCCACTCCTGCTGGATACAACATATACTTTAGTTGAGCTGGTTAAATCTATCTTTAGTCCACAGGTTGCAGAATTAATTCAATTATTTCTTGGATGCTCTTTGTATGCCTGCTGTCAGGCTAGGTACATGGAAAACTGTAAAGATGGACAAAGATTTTTCTCACTTGGAGTTGACATTCTAGTTTAGGGGAGGGGGAGAAGAGAGACAGATGAATAAAGAAATAAGGTTACAATTTGGGATGGGTTCTGTAAAGGAAAGATAGGGTAATGTCAGAGAGAGTAAAGAGAAACATACTTAAATGGAAAGAGCAGTAGGGTGGTTAGAGAAGGCTTCTTTGAGCTTCTTTGAGCTGAAGTGGAGCCTATTGTAAGAAGAACCAGCAAGAGAAGAGCAGCAAGGAGAACAATTGCAAAGACCCTAAGGTAAGAAAGGGTTTGCTACATGTGAAGAACTGAAGGAGGCAAGTATAGCTGAAACATAGTGAATGATAAGTTGAGTTGATATTAGTTCGAAGAGACAATCAAGGAACCTCCTTTGATGCCAGAGCCTTGTGGACTATGGAAAGCATTTGGGGTTTAATTCTAAACACAAGAGAATGCCATTGAAGGTTTTTGCATCACAGAATAGCGTAATCTGATTTACTTTCTACAAGATTGTTCTAGTTGCTCTGTATAAAATGGATAATAATAGCAAGAGTGGAAGTGGCTCTCCACTAAGCTATTCTAGTACATAATGGCTGTTAGGGTTAGAAGAGTAACTTTGGAGATGTAGAGAAGATGGAATCAGGATAAATTTGGGATGTAAAAGTAACAACAGTTGAATTGAGGTCCTCATTTACCATACATTAGTATCTCAATATGTTAATCGATAAATAGCAATACAAGCATATTATTTGGAAGTGTGGAAATTAATATCAAAATAAAGAGCTAGAAATGTTGAAGGTAGTTGGGAGTGGAGAGGGGTAGGAGAAGACCATGCTGTTTTTTGTTATAAACATTCAATATCATTTTCTTATAAAAATTGTATGTGTATGTGTAAATGTGTGTATGTATATGTAGTGTTTGCTGTGAAAAGATTAGAGAGGTGTGTGGTGGTAGATGTAGGAAGTCAAAGAAGGATTTTTTTTAAGTAGAAAATACTAACGTATGTTGGTAGACTGGCATGAATAATAAGCAGAGAATAAAAATTCGATGATGCGTAGTGGATGAATGGAATAACTGAAGAAGCAAAATATTGAGAAGAAGCGAAAATATAGGTGTCAAAAATTAGAATTGCCTGTAACAGGAAAAATGACACTTTCAGTTTTAACAGAGGAGGCTGAGAAGTGAGTGCAGATGCAGAGAGATTTGAATATTTGTTGGAATGAAAATGAAGTAAATCCTCTCTGATAGTTTCTGTATTCTCAGTGAATTATAGAGTAGGATCTTCCACTGAAAATGGATAGAGTGAGGAGTTTGATATCACAGGGAAAAAATATGGCATTTTTACCTCAGAGAATGTAAAGATGAACTTCCTAGGGAAGCATAGTAGGATTGCCAGGTTGGCTTGAACATTCGTTTGTGGTCTGTGAACATGAATTTAAAGAGAAATCAGTCAGCTAATTGTATTATTTCTTTATTAGGTTGCTTAGGTCTCTGCACAAAGAACCATAATTGAGTTCAAGCAGGTTTGGGATTTTGTTAAGTGAATTTAACAGAGAGAGATGGGAGCCAAGGTGGTTGATTGTGCTTGAAAAGGAATGACTATAATGATGAATCATGAAATCCAAGCTGGGTACACATGGGAGTAAATACAGATAATTAAAAAGTAGTGGGGGGGGGGGGCAATGTACTGGTAGTCTCTAAGAGGCTAAAGCCTTATTGCCAAGCTCAAGTGAGCTTGATGGATCGGAGGTGCTGAGCTGAATAGGATGTTCAGAGTTGATATTTCACAGGTAGTACAGCTATCAGTGCTTACATGGTCCAGAGTTAGTCCAGAGTGTGAATTGAGGCTGAGTAATAGTCTCTGGAGGTGATGAAGTTAAAGAATTAAGTCTTTTCCAGTTCTGAGTGTAAGGAGCTTGGAAGTCACCACTCTTTCCTAACAGACTGAAAAATCAACAACTCTTCTTGGATCCATAAAATAGAGGAGGACACAGGGCAAACTGCTGCCCCCAAGATTAGAGAGGACACCGCCTCATGAGAAGAAACCACCTCCAGAACCAGTGCCAGGGTAGGAAAACCTGAACCGTAATCGACAGATTGCTGGAGGCTTAGAGTGGACAACTCTGAGAGTTGAAAACTTCAGGAGACCCAGTCAGAGGGGAGTCCCTACAATATTGTGAGATTTACCTCCAGGAGCTTGACTAGGTTCCACAGTAAATATCTGAGAAAAATCCCCTTGTGCTTCCAGGGTGGTGGGGTGAAGAGTGGGGGGACCATTTGGAAATATGTCGGAGTGCTCTGTTCTACACAAGGCCCGTCCTGAGGGGAATGTAGGTAACCAGAGTTTAACCTGTTGGTGTATTATCAGAGCCTGATTGACCTAGGGGAAGGGAAATACCCAACTCCAGCCCATTCTTGCCATCCTGTTCGACCTTAAGGGGGCAGGAAAAAAACTGAGAAACAGTCATGAAGTTCCCAGTCCAGAGGCATAGGCTCACTAAAAGACTGAGACCTAATCATAGGACTATAGAATGCTTCCCCTCCCCCATACCTCACCACTACATCACTAAAGGCCTGTTTACAGCAGTTCCTTTTACCCGGTACATTATGTCCAGCTATCAAGAAAAAATCACCAGGCATATCAAGAGGCAAACAGGCACAACCTGAAGAGACAAAACAAGCATCAGAACCAGACATGGCAGAGATGTTGGAATTCTAATCAGAGTGGGAATTTAAAACAACTGTGATTAATATACTAAGGGCTCTAATGGATAAAATAGATAGCATGCAAGAACAGAGGAGCAGCAAAAGCAGAGAGAGAGAAATCCTAAGAAAGAATCAAAAAGAAATGTGAGATATGAGGGAAAAAAACACCCTAACAGAAAAGAATTGAGACTGTGCAACTGTATGGGCCATCTACATATATTTTGAAAGTCGCTGAGAATGACTATGTATAGTCTTGAAAAGGGAAAATATTATATTAAACTAGAAACCAAAGTTGGCAGTAAATAAGAGAGTGACTGTAATTGGACGGCTATAGAGGACTGACCACTAGTGGAGCCGATGAAATTAGCTTCAAAGGAATTTATGTTCTTGGAGACAAGGAGGATACTGGCCCCAGATCCTGACCCTGAGATTGATAATATAGGAGCAAAGAAAGTCTTCACTTGAAAAGGGTATAGTTGCATCATTATTAAAGACAGCCTAGACTCAGTAAATGCTAAGAATATTGCTCTTAATTTGATAAGGACACATTTTATTCAACAACTATGTGTTGAGCATTTGTGTATCATCTCATTTGTTTTAGGTGTTTGAGAGAAAGCAATCAACAAAAAAACAAAGTCCCTGCATTTTTTGGAACTTATATTCCTCTGAGGGGAGCCAGAAAATAAATGTGTTGTATCTGGTAGTGGTAGGTGCTATGAAGAAAAAAATATATATATTGAGAAGGATGGAGGGTGATGGGGAAGGCATTTGAAACCAGGTCACAGAAAGCTTCTCTGATAAGGTAATAGACATGCAAGCTAACACCTGAGTAAAGTGAAGAGAGACTTGCAGACATTTAGCAGGGGCAGGAGCATTCCACTAGATGGAAGAGTGAGGACAAAAACCCTAAGGCCAGAGTGTGCTTATGTTTGTGGAACAGGAGGGAATCTAATGGGACTTCAGTAGAGTGAGCACTCACGTTCTAATTTTTTTAAATTAAATATTTATTTATTTATCCTAATCTTTGTATTAACTCTAATTTGAGAAAGTAAGAATGCTCCTTTAGCTAGAAGCTTCTCTATCTGTTTTCCTATTTTAAACTCTCCATAGATCTTAATTTTTCAATCTGATGTGTAAAGTGTTTGGAGACTTGGTATAGCAGTGATTGTGAGGCATAAATGCTTTATTTAAAAAGAAATTAAAAATCAATTTGATTTTATGATTTCTTAATATTATTTGTTACTGTGGATCACCTATTTTTTCCTCTGACTAGTTAATATCACTTTAGTTAGAGAAATGTCAGTAAAAATTACATGAAACTATCATTCCATGTGTATCATGAACAAAACTTTCAGAGGAGATGGAGGTGAGCCTACATGATTCCTCTGAAGTAATTAGCCAAGACAAATAGACATACTTGAAGGGAAGGGAAAATAAGTGCAAGTACTTTGTCTAAGTTTGATGTCCTATGGGTCTTCATAGCTAAATTAACACCTCATTTTAAGTGATAATACATTAATAGATAAAGCTGATTAGACATTTTCAAAACTGTTCAAATGAACTTCTTTTTAAAAAACTATCTTTATAGGACAAAAAGTACAGTCCAGTAGAATTGCTATAAGGAAGAGAGTGGCAGTAGTATCCTGCCTGTTTTTCATAACTCCATTTCTGCCCTATCTCCCCCACCCCAAATCCACGCTCAACATAGAAACCAGAAGGGGTCTTTAAACAACATAACATAAAACATAAAACAAATCATGTTGCTCCACTGTTAACACCCTTTCAGAAAAACCCAGCTTCCTTTCCGTGGTCTTCCAAGAGCCTATATGATCTCACTTCAGTCTAGCTCTCCAAAGTCTTATCCCCATCAGGCTCCCCCTACTCATTATGTTCCAGCCACTTGGCCTCATTTCTATCCTCAAGCCTGCCAAATTCTTTTCCACTCACAGGCTTTTGCTCTGGTCGTTTCTAGGCCTGGAATGCTTCTCTCAGCTCTTCTCATGCAGGCTATTTGTCATCCTTTAGGTCTCAGGCCAGATGTCACTTCCTGAGAGAGGCCTTCTAAACAACATTCTCTAATGAGGCCTTCCTCAGTTACTTTTTCTAGTTACCTTGTTCTTCATAGTAATGACCATGATTTACTGTTACCTCATTTTACTTGTGTTATCTATCTATTGTCTTCTCCCCTACTAGAAAGTAAGCTCCCTGATAAACTGATGTGATGAAACATTTGGAAAAGTTAAGGATATGTTAAAAGTAAATTTTGCAGGATTTTTTTTTTAAAAAGCAATTAAAAATTACAGGTAAAGCATAAACGTTCTACAGAAAGGAAGTAAAGTCATAATACCCTATTGCC